GGGGGGGGGGGGGCCGTTCGGTCGTTACATTTCTGTTTTGGAATGGTGCTCAGTGGCGCCGACGGTGGTTTATTTCGTGAGTTTCGGCCAGCATCTCGGAATCTGGCGGGATCGATCTGCACGCTTCGCTTTCCGCAATCGACGAAAAGTGTTGAAATTGGAATAGAATTTGAAACTCTCGAGTTTCTCTCGCTTTATTTGTCTTCGCATCCAGGTTATGGATATTTCTCCTCGACACTGTGTACATTGCATGCGATCGATCGGCCATCCCTCGCGATATCTCTTCTTCTTCTTCTTCTTCTTCTTCGTTTTCCCTCTGCGGTTTCCTCCGGCTCAATTTGCCCCTTCATTGGATGATATTCGTCATTTCATTATTGTTGCTCGTTTCCTTTTTTTTTTTTTTTTTAGATTTTGCGATCGAATTCTCTGTCGAATCTTTGTCGAATCCTTTCTTCATCGTACCTTTTTTCGGCGATATTTTATAAAATTTTGCGTGTATTTCACACGGTTTCTTGTTTTTTTTTTTTTTTCATTCGATCCTTGCTCCTACTTTCGACCACGAAAAAAAAGGAAAACATGGACGGAAGGTGATTTATTTTTCCAATCTTTTTTACCAACGTGATTTTAGTCGACGATATTTAGAAGAAGGCGGCAATTTTTCGGTAGATTGGAGCAGGCAAACCGGCTATGAACTCCAATCAAGGACCTCGGACTCGGCCCACATTCCACGTCTAGACTATCCTTAAACTCGTCGCCGCCACGTTCGACGCCGATGCGATCCTTCTCTCTCCGTTAATTCTCTCCGATTCTTAGCGCTTTCCTGATCTTCGATTCGATTTTTCTCGAAGGAAAAAGGCTAGGAAGAAAATTTAAAGAGAGGAAAAATAAAGTCTCTCGATTTCGTTAATTTCATTTCTCTGGTAAGAGAGTGAGATTTCTAAAGATAGGAAAGGAAAAATGAAGTTAGATAAAAATAAAGTGAAAGAAAGGGGTGCTCGACTTTAGAGTTAAGGTTTAGTGGGTGTTAAAACATTGGCAAGTGAATGGCCGCTTCTTGAATGAAACGTCACGCGATGCGTAATTTTAAGATGTTCCGAAATATTCCGATTTTTTTTTACTTTGAATCAAATTTTTCATCAGAAAATAAACCCTAATTTCTTAATATCCCTCGAAGAATATTTAGAAAAGCTTGTCGAAATTTTTCCATTTTATTTTACGAAATATTAAATTATCACGAAAATTTTCGAATGACTAATAACTCTTGAAAAATTCGATTAATAAATTTGTTTCAAACCATGATATTTCTGCCGTTTGAAGAAAAAAAGCCATCTCGAGGGTAAAGTTTCGCAACAAAAATATATAAACCCAGCTTCGTACAATTTCCAAAGTTTGATAAATAAAAAAGGAAAGGGAAAAGAAGATTTCGAAATTCAGATACGAATGGGGGATATCGAAATAACACGGATCCAATTTTCGGTCGGCGATCATGTCTGAAATACGAGCCCAATAACCGTTTCGATATTTTAACATAACTGCAACGCGATATATAGAACCGCGGGATCGATACATAAAACACTTTCTTCGTCCCTGTTTTTTTTTTCTTTTTTTCCTATTTTCTCGATGAGAAAATATTACATTTAATTTAAATTTATATTAATTTAAAAATATAAATTTGGGATCAATTGAATTATTTAATTGATTCAAATAATAATAATAATAATAATAATAATATGTTATATATAATAATAATAATATGTTAATTGTAATATAATTGGGCAATTGAGATTCGGGAAATTGGAATGATTTTAGCTGGTCGAAAATGGTTTTAAAATTCGTCATTAATTTAATTTATAATTTAATAATTTAATTAATAAAAATATAAAT